TCAGATGGTTCTTGTGTGATACCTGGCCATCATTTGGGACTGAACCAGCTGATATTAATTTGTACTGACAAGGGGCAGGCTTAATTACTGAGAGAGTTCAGCTGGTGTCTTGGCTTTCCATGCCTTTTTACACCTCCCTTTCTTCATGTGTTCAATACTTTTTCCCCGTGTCATTCCACATTATTACAAATAACTTCATTTCTGGACATTTATGGTTTGATTTCTTTGTATGTAAGGATCACTTGGGTTTTTACCGACATCTGGTRAAAATTTCGTGTTATTAGCACCTCTAGTAATATATTTACTGAGAAAAATGGTGACGTGTTCAATACTTATTTTACCCGCTGTAGATGCAGAGGGGTCCGTTAACTGATTACCTCTCCAAATAATTCAACAAAATCATTGCCCCTATGATGAACACAATAAATGGATTAAGTGTTCCCTCGCCCAGACGCGGGTCACCGGGGCTCCACTCTGGAGCCAGGTCTGGAGGTGGGGCACGTTGGTGAGCGCCTGGTGGCCGGGCTTCCACCCATGGAGCCCGGTCAGACACAGCCCGCAGAGGAGACGTGGGTCCCCCTTCCCATGGGCTCACCACCTGTGGGAGGGGCCGTAGKGGTCGGGTGCAATGTGTGGGCAGTAGTCGAAGGCGGGGACCATGGCGGTCTGATCCTCAGCTACAGAAGTTGGCTCTAGGGACGTGGAATGTCACCTCTCTAGTGGGGAAGGAGCCTGAGCTGGTGAGAGGTTCTGACTAGATATAGTTGGACTCACCTTGACGCACCGCTCTGGCTCTGGAACCAGTCTCCTCAAGAGGGGTTGGACACTCTTCCACTCTGGATTTGCTCATGCTGAGAGGTGCCGAGCAGGAATGGGCATACTTATTGCCCCCCATCTCGGTGCCTGTACGTTGGGGTTCACCCCGGTGAACGAGAGGGTAGCCTCCCTCCGCCTACGGGTGGGGGGACGGGTCCTAATTGTTGTTTGTGCCTATGCGCCTAACAGCAGTTCAGATTACCCACGCTTTCTGGAGTCCTTGGAGTGGGTAGTGGGAGTGAGCGCGCACCTAATGAGGACTCCCTCATTCTGCTGGGGGACTTCAACGCTCACATGGATAATGACAGTGAGACCTGGAGAGACGTGGTTGGGAGTAACGGTCCCACTGATTTGAACCAGAGCGGTGTTTTGTTATAGGACTTCTGTGCTCATCATGGATTGTCCCTAATGAACATTCAAGCATAAGGATGTCCATATGTGCYCTTGGCACCAGGACACCCTAGGCTGCAGTTCGACTATCGACTTTGTTATTTCATCTGATCTGCGGCTGCATGTTTTGGACACTCTGGTGAAGAGGGGTCCCCCTATTTAAAAAGGGGGACCACAGAGTGTGTTCCAACTATAGGGGGATCACACATCTAAGCCTCCCTTGTAAGGTCTATTCAAGGGTCCTGGAGAGGAGGGTCCATCGGATAGTCGAATCTCAGATTCAGGAAGAGCAATGTGGTTCTCGTCCTGGTTGTGGAACAGTGGACCAGCTTTACATCCTTGTAGGGCCCTGGAGGGTGCATGGGAGTTCGCCCAACCAGTCTATATGTATGTTTTGTGGACTTGGAGAAGGCGTTCGACCGTGTCCCTCGGGGACTCCTGTGGGGGCTACTCCGGGAGTATGGGGTACCAGGCCCATTGATACGGGCTGTCAGGTCCCTGTATGATCTGTGCCAGAGCTTGGTTCGTATTGCCGGTAGTAAGTCGGACTCGTTTCCAGTGAGAGTTGGACTCCGCCAAGGTTGCCCTTTGTCACCGATTCTGTTCATAACTTTTATGGACAGAATTTCTAGGCATAGCCAAGGTGTAGAGTGGATCCTTTTTGGTGACCTTAGGATCACATCTCTGCTTTTTGCGGATGATGTGGTCCTATTGGCTTCATCAGATCGTGATCGTGATCGTGATTGGGCGGCACGACGGCTCAGTGGTTAGCACCGACGCCTCACAGCAAGAAGGTCCTGGGTTCGATCCCCGGTTCGGACCTGGGGTCTTTCTGTGCGGAGTTTGCATGTTCTCCTCGTGCTTGCGTGGGTTTTCTCCGGGTACTCCGGTTTCCCCCACAACACAAAACATGTACAATAGGTTGCCTTCAGGCCCAGGCCGCCCTTGAAAAAGAGATCTGAGATCTCAATGGGATTTGCCTGGTAAAATAACAGTAAATAAAATAAAATAAAATCTCCAGCTCTCGCTGKAGGGGTTCGCAGCCGAGTGTGAAGCAGCCGGGATGGGGATCAGTGCCTCCAAATCCGAGACCATGATCTTGAGCTGTAAACCGGTAGGGTGCCTTCTCCGGGTCCGGGAGGAGGTCCTGCCCCAAGTGGAGGAGTTTAAGTATCTCAAGGTCTTGTTTACGAATGAGGGAAGAATGGAGTGGGAGATCGACAGGCAGATTGGTGCTGCATCTGCAGTGAGGCGGGCGCTGTACCGGTCTGTCGTGGTGAAGTGGGAGCTGAGCCAGAATGCAAAGCTCTCGGTTTACCGGTCGGTCTACTTTCCTACCCTCATCTATGGTCATGAACTTTGGGTAGTGACCAAAAGAACGAGATCACGGAAACAAGCGGCCGAAATGAGTTTCCTACGCAGGATGTCTGGGCTCTCCCTTAGAGATAGGGTGAGAAGCTCGGTCATCCGGGAGGGACTCAGAGTAGAGCCGCTGCTCCTCCACGTCAAGAGGAGCCAGTTTTGGTGACTCGGGCATCTGTTTAGGATGCCTCCTGGATGCCTCCCTGGTGAGGTGTTCCGGGCACGTCCCACTGGGAAGAGGCCTAGAGGAAGCCCCAGGACACGCTGGAGGGACTATGTTTCTTAGCTGGCCTGGGAATGCCTTGGGATTCCCCCAGACGAGCTGGCCCAAGTGGCTGGGGTGAGGGAAGTCACTCTCTGCTTAGGCTGCTGCCCCTGCGACCCGATTCCGGATAAGCGGCAGAAAACGTACAGACGGACATTGCTATTAACCAATTTTGTCTTTATTGATTTGTTGTTTGGACCTTCAGTTGACAAGTTTTTATCTGTAATGATTTATTTTGCAAACTTTTCATTTTGTGAATTGGTGAATTAGCCTTAACTAGCTGTTTGAACTGGCAGAGTAAGTGCTTTTTTAACAGAATGGGTTATTTACTAATTGGCTGATTTCTTAGCTTCTGAATACTTGAATGGTATGGAGTTTTAAATTTAAGTTATTTCATTTTAATCAAGCAAATTGGTTTTCTTTTTTATTTTATTATCAATGTACAATTTAACAATTTTTATTTATCTTTAAATTATATGTTTTGTATGAATGAAAAACTATTTTTGTGCATTCAGTTCTAAAACCTACTTCTACTTTGATTTTGTTGGTTAATTGATGTGAATATGTTGTTTAGCTATTATTAGATCTTTTGTTAATTTAGGTCAGTAAATGATTAGTTTTAGCTAATCATTTAGGTAAAATTACCTTCTTTTTGCTTATTTTCAGTTTATCAGTCAGGGGAGTTGTACTCATTTGCCCCATTCTGGGCCCTTGAGCAAGGCCCTTAACCCCCAGCCCCTCCAGCTGCCTTAGATGGCAGAATCTTTTTTTTTTTTACAAATATGTTCTTTATGATTTATGTAGCTAAATTGTTTTACTAAAAATGTTGCAGACATCTTCTCCCTCTTCCAGAGAACCACTGCTCACTTTCCAGAAGTGCCACATGCAAATGAGGGGTGGGGGGTGGGTGACAGCCAGTAACAAAACCACACAAATAGCAATGAGTCAGGTCTGGATTTAAATCAGTATGTTTTTAATCCAAAGAGAGCAAAGATGATAACAAATAAATTGGACAATAATCTGGCTATTTAGTGATATTTCTACAGTTCTGGGGTCGGATTTATAAAACTGGCGTACGCACAATTTGAGCACAGAAACATGCGTATGCCACTTTTTACGCCAAGGTTGTGATTTATAAAATCCAAACTTGACGTGAAAATGTGCGTTGCCTCACACCAGCTCTGACCCATGCGTACGCTCATTTTGGAGACGTGAAACTGTGACACAGGTGGCGAAGTGAGGAATTATAGCTACACTGTGTAACGATCACTGTCAGAAATTTAATTTCACTTCATCAGACTTAGATTTTTATTCAACTTTATCATCAGCTTTCTTAACAGTAATATTTATGCTTCTGCTGCTGAGCCAGAAGGACCTTTGAAATAAAAATATACTTCAATCTTAAATAAAAGTTCCTGTGTGCAACACCCTTCATCTCCTTCCTCCTCAGACGACTCTGACCCACAGACCCCTCACTGACCCACAGACCCCTCCCCAACAAAAACAGCAGGACAGCAAAAGTCACGCTTTGGAGACACGCGCAGGGCGCATCCACCTCGCCAGTGTGAATGTTATAAACATTCACGTTTAAAGTCCATGTTTGTCGCGCACGGGGGGTGGGGGGTGTGCGTGCGTGGGTGTGTGCACGCGGGGCGGGGGTGTCTGCCGCAGATAACAGAGCAGGCAGGAGGGTGAGAGGACGAGGAGAAGAGCGGTGGACTTATTTCTAATTTTATCTGACATTTAATTTGATTTTTATTGTTTTTATCATCCTGCAGGCTCTGAGGGAAAATTAATTTGAAGTTGAGTTTTTTTTTATTAAAATCGTTAGAGTACGCTAAAGCAAAATGAGGGAAATCACGGCTGTGATTTATAAATGAAAGATGCGCAGAAACATGCGTACGCACTGTTTTACAAATCTGAATTTTTTGCATACGCCATTTCCACCTTTTGGCTGTACGTTCACTTTTAGTAAGGTTTCCACACAATCCTTTATAAATGAGACCCCTGGTCTTGAAATAAAATTACGAGTTTTCAATGTCCGAGACCGAGACAAGGCCAAGGTCACCAAAAAGTGGTCTTAAAACCGGTCTCAAGACCAAGACTAGTCTCAAGTACTACAATACTAGTGTCAAGTAAAAAAAAAACATTTATGATTCGTCTTGGATAGAGTGAATTTGATTGTGGTTGGACTAGAAGTATAAATATGTACCATGTTGACAAACTATTGGTTTGTGCCATCCATCACATCTTAATGTGACACAAATCACGTCACATTCCAGCAGGATGTATCAGACATGCGTGGATGATCATCACAAATGAAACAGGTAGCTTCGTGTATCTTATAGTTTTCAATATATTATACTTATTATGGCCTTTAGAAAAATGTTTTATTGGGGGGGGAGGCAGTATTGTGCACTATAGTTGCCTGTGGCACAGCCTAAGCTTGTTTTTTTCCTTTACATTAATTTTACAGTTATAAAACCAGTAATTTCATATTTTTACTTGGGAAAAAACTTGAGTTGTTACTTCAGCTTCTACAGAAGTGTCTTTAAACCCTGATGAATATAAATACTTTTGACACCTCTGTTAATAAACTTAGTGGTTTGATAGTTTAGCTGGTTTGTATTTATTTGTGATGAATGTTAGAGTTCGGTGGTTAGTCGTCTGGTGAACCGTGTGGTGAACGGTTACCTGTGGATAGGATGAGGGTAACTGGAACTCCATTGTTGACATACTTTCCCTGTGTTTGTGATGTTGATCTTTCCTTCATAGTTGATCCCATTTCCCATGATGCAGTGACCTGCAGACACCCGGACCATCAGTGTTCACATCAACCATGTGACCAGTTTGTTTACATCTTGTTTGTGTTTACCTTCTATGCAATGTCTGACGATGTTGATGTTTTCTTTTGTTCGAACCATTTTACTTCCTTTACAGCCTGCGGAACACGAACGAAGCAGCGGTTTCATGTTAGTTCTGAAACATTTGGACTTTGTTCTGGTGACATGCAGCTGAATAAACTCACAGAATTACGCAAAACAGACATTAATCTGAGTCCAGTAACAAACAAATTCTTTCATCAGACAACTGGACTAGAAGTTAAAAGTCGTTAGAACTGGTTGTAAACTAAATGTTGCCTGCAACAGGAACYGATACTCAAACTCAGAGGGATGATTGTCATTTTTTACTATGCTATTTTATTGTTTTTGGTTTTTTAACAAAATTTGTAGCTGTAGAAAGCCATGACTGTTCAGTTTTATACARCAGGAAAGACATCAGATAATGTCAGGGACAATCTGAAGAGTATTATAATGTTGTGGCAAAAAGGCAACAGTTTAAAGTTAAGTCACAAACCAGCTGCCAGTTTGTCCAGAGCATGCTGAGTCATCAATACTTACCAAGATACTTTGTCCAAAATTTATCCTGAAAAAAAAAGGAGAGAGAAATACAGTCTGGTTAATTTGAAACTAGGTCTGGGTAAACTGACATCGGSTCTGTTTAAAACCAATCTCGAGTCCGGTTAAACTCATCTCAAGTTTGTTCAAACTGATTCTAGGTCTGGTTAAATTGATCCCAGATCCATGAAACATGAGAAGGAGAAGTAACGTCTTACAGTTTTGTCTTTCTGCTCAAACACCTCTCTGGCTTCTTCAGCGTCGCATATTTCTTCCACACATTCCCTCTCCAGGTTTCCTGATGTCCAAAATGAACACAATATATTACTGTCCCCATGGAGACGATACAGAAGCATAAACCTAATCTATGCTGCTTGTCTAGTTTTTTTATACTATTTATTTCCAATTTTGGTCTGTTTGTGTCTTCTGATTCATCTTTTTGTTTCATTATGTAGGTCTACAGTCTGTTTTTGTTTATTTCCTTCCAGATGATGCTGTAATTGAGACAAACATTACATGATCTCACAAACAGAAAAAGCTCATATCTTAAAGGTCGGAGGTCAAACAGGTGTCACAGTGACTTACCTGGTTTCATCTCCTCGAACAAACTATTTGCTCGCCGATTTCGAACCAAAACCTGCGATGCCTGCTGGCCGTTGAGAAAAACTGGGAATAAAAGAGGAAAACAGACAAATGTTAGATTTCTTTAAATCACAGAATCAAAATCAGATGTCCGGAGTTTATTTCAATCTTTATAATCCTGTTTTCCACTTGATCAG